GCCTGTTGCTGGGGCGGCGCCGAGCTCTGGACAAGCCTCCCGGAACTTGGCTGACCGCTGGCATAGGGACTCACACGGAGCCTCACTGTCGTGGCCCTCCCGCTAAAGTAACACAGCCTTGCTTTGTGATGCCAGGCCTCCATTCATGTTTATTACGGCACTCTTCGTCCACGAAGGGTCAAGGTGGTCGGCAACACACTCAGTCTCCCTCCTGCTGCTGTAATGCCACCTCAGACCAGAATATGGGTCACCCAGAGCTTGGGACCACCGGGGGTCAGCCAGAGGGAGGCCCCCTACTTGCCATCGGAGGACCCAGCCTTGTGGGCTGAGCCTGGATCCTGGCATGCAACATCAGTACAGTTAGCTCCAGGAGATGCGGCGTAACGCACTTCACGTGGCTGTGCAGCACCCTCAGCCTCCCATCGCCCCCTCGGGATGAGCACTGGCGCTTCTGCGGCACCCAGGGGTGCCTGTGACAGCTGGCAGGGAGCCGGGTCAGGGTCTCAGAGGGCAGAGGCTCAGCATGGGTCATGGCTGCGGTCTGGCTGAAGAGGCGGAAGTCAGTGACAGTAGAGAACCGGCACCTCGACCTTCTGGAGCCAGGGGATGACCCAGACTTCAGAGTAGCAGCTCAGAGTCTGAAACCAAGAAAGGGACACCTGAGACCGGGCCGGCTGGCATGGGACTGCCCCTGTGCGCCGCGTGCCTCTGCCTGCTGGGCTCCTGGCAGGGCGCGCCTGACTGCGGGGCTCTCCCTGATCCTAGGTTTTATTTTGAAAACCTTTCAGCATACCGGAGTTGGAGGAATGCATCCTTTCACCTCTATCTGTGAATTGTGCATTTTGCTGCACTTAGGGGAGAGTACATATTGTATGATATGTGACATATATTCAAGACGGTGAAAAAGTTTGTGGAAAGGGCCAGCAAGTGGTGGAGCCGTTAAGGCACCTGGCTCCCGTGTGACTGACCACAGTTTAAGTCCTAGACCTGGCAGCTTAAAAATCACACTGGATGTGTGTGTGTGTGTGTGTGTGTGTGTGTGTGTGTGTGCATCCCCAAAATCCTTGGGGGAGAGTGGAGGAGACGGGATTGCGACATAGTCTCTCTAGGGGTGACTTCTCACTTGCTCTCTCACTGTCTCTCTTCTCTCCTATGAGCATGTGCGCCCTATGGCAAAAACCTTAAAAAAAAAGTTTGTGGAAAAGTGGAATTAAAATACGAGCTTATTTTGGTGCAAAAATTAAAAAAATGAAATCCATGCAATTGTTTCATAATACATATTTCCCATGAACTTTTTTCCCCCATGAACTTTTTTTTTATTCTTTTTTTTTTTTTTTTGGAGGGGTTTTTTGCAC